TATATATATATATATATATATATATATATGGTTGATAGACAATAATAATATACCCTTTATTAAATGAGGCCATGAGTACAAGCAAGTACAATGAAAATTGACAAGAAATAGAGGTGTTTATATGAGGAAAGAACACAAACGTTAGTATAAATAATATTTGCATGCATGCATGCATGCATGCAAGGGGTACAAGAATATTTGTACAACCCTCAACCCTGCAGTGCAGGTATAATGTTTATACAAGGGGTATACAATGTATATGTGCGGAAATGTAATATAATAAAGGGATAATAGAGGGAAGATAATATATATAATAATTAATAATAATTATATACTGGACAGAGAATAGTTCATTTGCCTGTATGTAGGGTTTAGGGGGTAGTGTTTACGGTGAGGGCATATGGTGTTATTGCTGCCTATAAAATATATTCAATTAAATTGTTAAAAGATCCTTTAAATTATTTAATTAAAAATATATTAATTTACCTGCTTAGTAAACAATCCATATAGATAAGATATTAAGACACAGAGAAGACTTGCAATTGCATGCACGGCAGCAAAAAAGCCCCAACAGCCTGCTAAACACATCTAATTAATAATAAACACTAAAATTTATTTAATTATTTATTTTAACTTTATTTATTTGTAATTTTAATTGACATTTGCCACACAGCAAGGCCCTCTACTGTTGCGGGGCCTGGACAGGGTCCAGGGTTTAGTGCCGAGGGTTTAGGGTTTAGGGTTTGCCACGAAAGTTTTAATGCCAAGAGTTTAGGGTTTTCACACACTTACTCGTCTTCTTTCTTGCTAGAGGCAGGTGTCTATACACCCCACTAATAAGCCTCCGTTTGCCCTTGAGGTAAACCCTAAACCCTAACCCTACTATTGGAGCTACGTAGGCGATCTCTTACTGTTTCAAGACGACACAGCACAGCAACAGCAACAACAACAGCAGCAACAACAACAGCAGCAGCAACAACAGCAGCAGCAACAACAGCAGCAACGGCAGCAGCACCAGCAGCAGCAGCAACAGCAACAGCAGCAACAGCAGTTCGACAGCCATAATGGCAGAGCGCAGCTGTCTGGTTTGTTTGCTAGGAGCTTCTTGATGGCTAGCTGCTAGCTGGTTGGCTAGCTATCAGCTAGCCAGCTGGCTAGCAGCTAGCCAGGAGAACCCCCCATGGGGCCACCGTTACAGCACCGTTTCTGTTATGCGATGCTGGTGCTGCTACTCCTTCTAGGGGTGCTTACATCCAGCAGCAACAGCAGCAGCAGCAGCAGGCGTTGCTGTTGCATGCCCGTTGGGTTTCTTAGTGCAAGAAACCTTACTTTTATCAGGGGCAGGGGCAGCAGCAACAGCAGCAGCAGCAGCAGCAGCAGACACAAGAACCACGGCAGCAGCAACGCGGGCAGCTTTCGTATCAGTAAGGTGTTCAGTTCATCACAGCAGCAACTGCAGCAGCAGCAACAACACGATGGTGGATCAACAGCTGCTGCTTCAGTAGATGCAGGAACTGCAGCAGCAACACCAATGGTAGAAGCAGCAGCTACAGCACTTGCAGCAGCAGCAGCAGCAGCAGCACCTGCAGCAGCAGAAAGAGCAGCTCCTGCAGCAGCAGCAGCAACGGCACCCAAGAGGAGACCATGGAACAAAGGGAGGCCCTGGAGTGCAGCAGAGCGGCAGAAGATTGCTGCTGGGTATCAGCAAACCCTAAACCCTAGGACCTTATTTTCCTCATTGTTAAACCCTAATTGCTCAGACAACAATTGTTGAGGGTTTAGAGTCAAGGGAGGGCTTAGGGCTATGGGGTTTACGGGCTATCTGGAAGGGAGGTTTATAGCTCACTGATTAGGATTTAGGGTTTAGGGTTTAGGGTTTGTCTTTAGGACTCGACGTGCAATGGAGATGATTAGGGCTACCCGCCCTCCGAAACCCCCGCCAAAGCCAAAGGATAAAAAGCCTAGAGTTGTAAGGACGAGCAGCAGCAACAGCAGCAGCAACAGTAGCAGCAACAGCAGCAGCAGCAGCAGCAGCATTAGCAACAGCAGCAACAATAGGAACCACACTCCTGTGCGAAGCACATGTTGCATCTCAGCTAGATTTGTTGTTTTCATCGTAGCAGCAAGTGTATCACCACAGCGAGAAGGGGCAACAGCAGCAGCAGCAACAGCAGCAGCAACAGCACCAGCACCAGCAGCAAACGCAGGGTGGGGTTGTTGTGTGTTGCTGCACAGCTGAGCGCCGCTCATTTGGCTAAACTTTCTAAATGTTTGCGTGAGAGATGGCAAGATGAAAAACACAGAAAAGTGCTAATTGATGCCCTGCGCAGTGTACGCTGAAGAACTAGGGTTTAGGGTTTAGGGTTTAGGGTTTATGATTTAGGGTTTGGGGTTTAGAACGTCGCATTTCGTGTTTCTAGTTTAGGGCTTCGGATTCAGAGGGTTTTGAGATATGTGGCCTTTCGAGAAGCAGCGGCGGCAGCAGCAGTAGTAGCAGCAACCGCACAAAACCCAGCAGCAGCAACCGCAGCAACTGCAACAGCAGCAGCAGCAGCAGCAGCACTAGGCGGTTAAAGGCGTTGTTGTGTTTGCCTCAGAGAACCCAAAGCTTAGAAACTCGGCGGCGGATTTCCTTAAAGATAAAAGAAAAATGGTGCAACAAAGAGTACGCACAAAGAGTCTGCGCTGCTATGGCGAGGGTGAGCCTCAGTTGCTGCTGCTGCTGCTGCTGCTGCTGCTCTTGCTACTGCTGCTGTTGCTCCTGCTGGGTGCTGCTTCTGCGGATGCTTTTGGTGCTGGCTGGCGCTGCTTCTGCCGGTGATTGGTTTGCTGCTTCATGCTGCTCCTGCTGTTGCTGGAGGGGCTGTTGCTGCTGGCAGGTGGCTTGCTGTTGTTTCCCCTCTTTCACTAGCAGTGGCTGCTGCTGCTGCTGTAGTTGCTGCTGCTGTTGTTGCTGATTGTTTGGCAGGCCAATTCAAGCAACGAAAGACGCTCTAAAATATCTGAATCCCTGAAGCTCAAGGTAAGGCATTCAAACCCTAAACCCTAATTCATTTGTTAATGGCATTGGCGGTGCAAACCGTAGTCGTTGCTGTTGTTCTGCTTCTGAGGGGATGGTAACTAATGTCTTATTGCCCCACGCAGCCAGCATCTAGGGTTTAGGGTTTAGGGTTTAGGGTTTGGGGTTTTGTCACAGTGGAAAGACGAAAGCTTTCGGGCGAGAATGAAAAGCTGCAGACTGCCCTTTTCAGAAGAACGAAGAAGAAGACTGAGCCATGCGATTGCGTGAGGGTTTAAAGTTGATAAGGCTTAGAGAGTACTAGGGTTTAGAGCTGCTTACGATATAGAGTTGCTCAGGGTTTAGGATTCATTAGAGTTCAGTTCACAGTTCATGGAGATCTAAACACCATTCAAGTTTTGGATTCATTTTAGCTATGCAAGTTGGTGGTGGGAGAGAGGATTTAGCGTCTACGTTTTTTTTTTTTTGGGTTCATTAGGGTTTAAAATTCATGCGATTTAGGGCTCATGAGGGTTTAAAGTTTAGTAGGATTGTTTTGTTTTGTTCGCTAGTGATTAGGCCTCATTATATTTTAGGGTTTGAGTGTTTCCTAGGGACTATGATCGCCATGAGGGTTTAGGGTATGAGGGTTTACTGCCGTTTATTAGGGTATAGCTGTTCTGCGGTGTAGGGTTCAGACTTGCTAGAGTTTATGGTTTTCTATGGTCCTGATGCTCAACGTCTTCGGGTGTTGTAGTGCCAGGTCTGACAGTGAGGTAGCTGGGGTTTAGGGTTTGGGGTTGGGGTGTTTGTTTAGGCGTTTGTGGCATGGGGATGCTGCCTATCGGGAGAAGACTTTAAATGGAATTCGGCGTTATGTAAATCTCAAGGCGACAACTAGGAAGAAAACTAGGAAACCCACTCGACAGCTGCAGCTTGAACTCCCCGTCAGCAGCATTAAACCCTAAACCCTAAAGCTTCGTTAGATGAGTTGTCGCTGCTGGAGTGCTTAGGTCCCCAGGTTTTGGTTTAGAGTTGAAGGGTGTGTTTGGCTTAGGGTTTGCTTTGTGTCCACAGCAGGAAAAAGGTGACAGACTCTGGAGCTCCATGTACAGCCGACTCCTAGCGCAGCAGCAGCAACAACAAGAGCAGCAAGAACAACAACAGCTGAAGCAACAGCAGCTGCAGCAACAACAGCTGCAGCAACAACAGCTGGAGCAACAGCAGCAGCAGCAACAACAGCTGCAGCAACAACAGCTGCAGCAACAACAGCTGCAGCAACAGCATGTGCAGCAACAGCAGCAACAACAGCCGCAGCAGCATCACAGCGTGGTGAAGGATTGGGCCAGCCCTCTCTGGGGCCTGTAGGCCGAGTGGGATAACAATTCTTCCGGTTAGCCGCCTCGCGACATCGTCAGGCATGTAGCTGCCGAGCTAGCCAGCAACATGTCTAGCTAGTTAGATATGTTGGTAGCTAGCGAGCTAGCTAGATAGCGAGCCAGTTACAAGACGCGCCATCAACCTAACTAGCTAGCTAGCTGGTTAGCTGCATGCCTAGCCATATGCTAGGCGAGCTGGCGAGCTGCTCACTCGTTGAACCTTAGGTAGCTAGCTAGTTAGCTAAGTATCCAGCTAACTAAGCAGAGAGCCAGCTAGCCAATTGTGGAATAAGCAGCCAGCCGGATGGTTCCCCAGTTTGCTTTCCCTGGGCTTGCCTGGTCGAACAGTGAATAAAGGTGTTTGTGATGGTGATGTGTTGGTGGGGTTGCTGTGACTGCTGCTGTTGATGCTGCGACGTGCTCTGCGGTGATAAGACTTCGAGTAGTTGCATTGTAACTGGAGGGGGTGCAGGTACCCAAGTAAACCCTAAACCTCAAACCCTGATCGGAGGTCATTCGGCCCATTGGATGCCTATAGTGATTAGTAAATGCATTCGAACCCTCTGGGAGACAACTAGCGAAGTTTGCATGCAGCTGTCCACACACCCCAGCAGGCGCACCTGTGCTGGGTGCATGGAAAACAGTGAAGGTTTATGTTTGTTAGGGTGCATGCAAAAGCGATCATTTTGCCTATTCAAGCGTAAATAGAACTTCATCTTAGACGCCCTCCGCAGCTTATAATTGCTGCTGAAGTTGTCCTTGGAATTTGCTAGACAAGCTAAACACCTCCCTGTACAGCTCAAAGCATGCATGCACGCCTCAAAGCATATACACCTCAATAGCCATGTACACCTCAAAACAGCATCACCAGTGCCAGCAAATACAAGCAAACACTCCAACCCCTCAAGTATTTCGCTGGCTTCCCCTATGCAGCAGAGAGGTCCTCCCAATGTACTTTATGTTATGAAGGCCAGCTCCTTAGGCTAACACGGGAGGATAACTTTCCTTTTATACCCTAGGGGACCCCTTCTCAGGTGTATGGGGGCCCCCTTATTAGGTCTAAAGGGGCCCCCTCCTTACACGTAAGGGGGCCCCCTTCTTAGGTCTATAGGGGCCTCCACCTTAGGTCTACTGGTGGGCCCCTTCGTAGGCTTCGGAAGGCCCCCCTGTAAGAGGCGGCCCCCTTTCCTTACTTCAACAAGGCATTTGAAAGTCTTCAACAAACCCCTCTCTAGTCACAAAGCGGCAAAAATTGCTTCAACTCGGAGCAAAACATAAATCGCATCCTCGTTGTAGAAGCAATACCTCTCCCACCTCTAATCAATTATATAGACATGTATATTTACATACATATGCATATTACATATACATACAATATAGACAATATACGTGTTCAGCAATAATATATTGCAGATATAATCAATCTGCAATATAAGATATTGAATATATATAAAATATGTTCATAACATGCATGTTTAGAATACGCAGAATGCGTTGTGTGTATATAAGGCATTATTGATGTATATTGTATATGCATGCGTCCGCACGCAGCAACATATAAATGCATAATTGGTTGGCTATATTTGTGTACGTGGATATTTGTTCGAAGGCGCAACAGGAAACAAACACCGATGTACAAGATGTTTACTTATTTACGTATATATTTGACTCTTTTTTTCTATTTTTCAAGTTGGTAGGTAGGAATAATGAAGTAATATTTTCTGGTTGTTGTTGCTCTCATTTGCTTGCGTTCAAGCCCGCATAGAGCTCGCGGATTTCCTTCAAGAATCGCTTCTTCGCTGCGTGCCGCACCAACTTCATAGTAGGGGTTGTTAGGCCATTTTCAGGGGTGAATGCCTCTTCAGTTAGGAAAACTGCTTTTATTATTTCAAATCCTTTAAGCTGCTGACGACCTAAAACCTCCAAATCTTGCACGATTTCCTTCTTCAAAGCCGCGTCCGACAGCAATGTCGAATATGGTTCTCCACCCTGCACATACACCCCAAAACCCAAACACTAAACACTAAACCCTGGCTTAGAGTAGATCTCAACCTCACCCCCAGGCTGCTCCAAATCTTGCATTCTGCACCTTGAAATCGCCAGCGGCCTCTGGTATGTACCCTAAACCACAAGCTTAAAGAATCAAACATCTTTGGTTCTTTCCCTTAACCCTAAACCCCTCACCTTATTGTTCTTCTCCGCCCACTTCCGCACCTCCGCAGATGCAGGGACGACAATGGCAACAAGTGCAGCCTAAACAGCCCCACCGCAAAAAGCGCAAATCCTAAACCCTAGACCCTAAGCCTAATATCTGGCACCTACTTCGGAATATGATTCAGGGTTTAGGAGGGTTCAGCTATGCACAGAGCTACTGCCTCTACCGGGGAGGAAATAGGGAATGCCATCGAGCTGTGGACACACCTCTAACGAATCTCCATAGACGAATATCTGTTCGACCCAGCGGCTGTTACTGTAGATGTTCTCCAGACGCTCCGGCGCGATGTATTCTCCCTAAGACAAACAAATACACGAGATGAAGTAGATATAATAAAAGCATAAATGAACGCGCAACAGCACAAACAAGCCAACAAGCAAACACATCAGTAAGCACGCAAACCGTCTACGCAATGAATGGCAATTACCTCGCCTGTCCCTGTATGCCACTATTCATTCTAAAGACAAGCAGCAGCACCATAGTGGAAAGGGCACATAGGAGAGAGCAGCTGAGGTATCTGGAGACATACATGAGCAAGTTTGAAAACATTCTTTGCCCTGTCTATGATCTTCACAGCACCGCTTGGCTGTATCTCCACCACATCTCCCGTGTGGAGCCAGCCATCCTCATCAATGGTCTCTTTTGTTCTTTCTGGTGACAGAAAATATTCCTTCATGAGGCTATGTCCCCGCACCAGGAGCTCCCCTCTGCAGCGCAAAACCCTGAGCCCTAAACATTAAACCCTCAAAGGCAGCCTTCGGTGCACAACCACCCACTCAATCGCAACGAAAGGCCCTGTTAATCAAACCCTGCACACCCACTGTGCATCAACGCTAAACCCCAAACCCTAAACCCCGCTGTCGTCCTCACCTCGGAGGATTCGCCGTTGCGTCGTATTGCAGTTCTGGGAGGGAGACAACTTTGAACTCTGTCGAAGCAAGGGGACCCCCAATTGTGCCTTTGCTGCTGTCGTTGGAGTGCTGCAAAAAGGAGATACCTGTCTCCGTCATCCCCCAACCCTGCAGCAAGAACAGCAGCAGCAGAGACACCTTAACACTGTAAGAAAGAAGAGACAAGCCAGAATATGCAGGATAGACAGCCTGTCAAGCAACGGCATCCATACATATGAGGTCTTCTCCAAACGAAGACACAAACACAACTACGAGCACGGATACAGAACTTAACCCCTCCCTCTGTCGCGCCTTCTTTTTGACTAGCCTGCCTGTTTGTCCCCCTGTTCCTCTGTGTCTGTCTCTGTGTCTCCTCCTCATGTGTCTCTCTGTGTTGCTCTCCCTCCGTAACCACTCCGTTCGTCTGTGTCTGTCGCCTTTTCTTTCCTCGTCCCTATTTGTCTCTACAGTAGTTTTGTCTGCCTTTGCGTGTGTATTTGTGGTGCGCTCGTGTCTCCTCCCTCATTCTATCGCTCTATATCCCGCTGTGTCTCCTCATGTCACGTCGTATGCCTTTTTGCCGCTTCCTGGCTTTTTCTGCCTCATTTACCTCGCAAATGACGGTAGACAAATACATCTGCAGTTCAAGCAGCTGCTGCGCGTCCATGGGGGCGCTGCCCACACAGACAGTCCGAATGTTCCCTCCCATGCTCGCTCGGATATTGCGAAACAGCTGCAACACAAACCAAAAGCCCTAAACCCTAAATCTTAGCCCACGCCCTGACGAAGCTAACAGGTTCCCCAACCCCAATGATATGCAACCCTTGTTCGTGCTGGTGGTGCGGGCACCAGAATGTGTATCTCGAGGGTTTACTGTTCAGCGTGCAGCAGCAAGGTTTAACTGCGGGACATCAACGGGATCTACATGGAGGTACAGAGGACAGTTTCTATCGGTGTTGTGTGCTCAAGCCACAAGTGGCTCGAACGGCCTTGTGTATGCGTGTTGAGGTGTATGTTAAGGTATGCCAGGTTCTATGGGAAACCGTGCTTGTGCTGCGTTTGCATCAACTGACAAGATCTGGAAAGAAACTTGAGATGGCCGATGGATTTTGCTGGTACTTGTGTTTTTTTGCATCAAGCGCCTTGGCAGCTAGCCATTGAACGAAGGGATGTTTCTGTCGGATACCAGCGTTGATCTTCCCCGATATTCTGTTGAATACTCGGGGCACCGCGATGAAGACAGAAGGTTTTGATAGTTGTACGTCTTCTGCTAGACGTAGCATATCCCCGCTATAGTACGCGACACGAATTCCCAACAAAGTCACCACCAACTCAACACCTCTCTGGTAGATGTGCGCCAAAGGCAAATACGACAGCGTGCTGTCCCCCACGCGCACCTGCATGCGGTTACAGCTAGTCAAATAAGAACCGACAAACGACAGCATCGAACCGTTCGTATGCACTGCACCCTTTGGCAGACCTGTCGTTCCTGAAAACAAGCATATACAGCAAACGCAGACACTTTGCAACCACAAATACTTTTGCAAACCACAAACACTTTGCAACCACAAACACTCACGCAAATCACAAACACTTCTTGAAACTTCAAACGCTCTACAAAATCTCAAGCACTCAATGAATCTCTACCAAATCGTAAGCACTACTTGGAACCACAAACACTACCAAATCACACACAGTTCTTGAAACCACAAACATTCCTTGACGCCACAAGCACTTATCGAAAACACAAATACTCTAGCAAATCACAAACACGTCTTAATATGAACTACACTTCTCGAAACCACATATATTTCTAGAAAACACAAGTATTTCACGAAATCATGCACGACTCATGATTTATCACATTTTCATGATATTTCATCATGCATCACTTCCTTGGAATCAGAAATTCATTAGGACGTTTTCATAAAGTCAATCCAATTGCACGGAAAAGCCCAGCATGATGGATAGCCTGCAGGTGGATTACCTGAGGTGAAAATGATGGTGCAGATGTCGTCCAGGGAAGGCACGAGCTCTTCCGGCGTCTTGGTGTCAGCAATCGTGAGGTACTGCAGGATATAAGCAAACAGAATCCTAAACACCAAGCCGTAGACCCCAAGCCTTCCAGGGTATTCGATGTATCCAAGTTCGGCGATTGCAGATACAGGTTAGTTCTCAATAATTGGGAAGCTTGGGGTATACAAGTTAGTTCTCTAATTGGGAAGCTTGGGGTTAGTCAGGGTATAAAGGGTTTCTGCTAGTGAAGTAAAGTGCTGGGGAGGTTAGCATTTCTCGCTTAGGGTTTCGTTGCTTGCCCTTCTTCTTAGCTTCTCCTGGTGGTAAAGACAAACTCCTGCCTCTGCGAACGCCTCCTCCTGTTCCTTCGTTGGCTGCGAAACGCAAACCCGAGAGCGTAAACGACTATCCAATATCAATGCATCCCGCAGCCCAAGCCTCAACATGCAGGCATATTTGCGCATGATGACGCATGAGAAGATAGGGGATAGCTCATCTCGGCAACTAGGAGGAGGAAAACTTCTACTGGTGTTGATGGATGCGTTTGCTCAGTGCGGGAGGAGTGATAGTAGAGGTAAAACGTTAAGCATGCATACAGCTAAAGCGGATATACACCCAAAGAAGACAAGGCAAGGTCAGACCAAGATCCAAAACGTATACACTGCAAGCCCCAAAGATCATGCACCGCAGTCTCACTTCGTCAAATGAAATGACTGCTTTTAAGGGAAATCCTTCTTTCTTAAGTCGCAATGCTGCGTCTAGTTTAGAGCCCTCCGCAGCCAACACCTGCATTTCTGCAGGCAAAAAATCCCAAAACCAAACCTCCAACATTTAAATCCTAAACCCTAACTTCTTTTCTCTCGAAACTGCGTTCCGCCGATGACCCAGCGTTCAAAAGAAGCCGTGCACGGATGACTATAGGGATTCCCTTCTGCTCAACGGGTTCAGGGTCTAGGGCCTGGGATCAACGATTGAGCGTTTACTTGTCTGTTGAACGATGTGCTTCACCGACTGCTCTCCCAGCGTATCGTAGAGGGGGACTGTGACAATACCCCGGTAATTCGCTGCAAACACCACGCCCCGAACCTAAACCCCCAAAGCCTAGACTGGAGACTCCCCATATCCCTTGCCCCCATCAAATGGGGCAAGTGGTATTGTCACAGTCCCTCTACGTTCCCAGGCCTCCAACTTCCCAGCCAAGTCAAAATGCAAGGGGAACCCAAGAACAAACCCTAAACCCTTGCCTGCGAAATCAAGCAGCCTCCAGTCCATCCTTGTTCTTGACCAGATACCCAGAACCCTCAAGGGTTTGGGAGGGGTGCTCGAACCCTCCTGTTCGTAATGAGAAACAGGGACATCTACCTCCTGATCGAGCGCCCGGCCCAGAGACTCTACCATGCGCAGCGTCTGCAGACACACAAATCCTAAACCACTAAGCCTAGACCCTCAATCCATAAGCCTAAATAAACTGGCACTACTGCAAAACATGCGCCATCTGTACAAGCAGTGCCTGTACCTCCAAAGTGCCCCCATCACGTTGCGAAGCCAAAACCCAGAACCCTAAATTGTAAAAGCCTCCTGCCCTAAACTTTGAGGAGGACTATACCCCCAACCCTGGACTCCAAACCCTAAACCCTTTCCTCACGTCTGCGTATGTGAAGTATTTAAAGTCAGAGAGAGTTGCCTGAGAGTCGCCGTTATTAATTGGCCGGCGTTCCCCCACATACAAGTTTCTTCCAAAGATAGTCGCCGCCTCCTTGAGCAGCAAGTACCTGAAAGGGAGGCAAAAGAGCAAACAGCAGCTGCAAGCTCCTCCAACAAACACCCCTCACCATAGAGAGATGGACAAATAAACAACAAACCCCACCATCAGAACCGCCAGACATAATATATAAACTCAATAGTTTTAGTATTACCGGTGTACTATGTAAACATCATATGCGGCAGATATAAGCATACGTCGTACATTCATGCAGAACAGCACTGTTTGCATAGATATATTCTATAGACAAATGCATGTACATACATATATGCTATTTGTGTATTTACATTTATATTTACACCTAGATTTACACTTATACTTTGTATTTATATGTATATATGTATAATATTATATTATATTATATTATATTATATTATATTATATTATATTATATTATATTATATTAAT